ATTTATTTTCTTTTACTAGTTTTGTTGCTTTGAGAAATACATGTGGCACCTGTGGATTACTAGAATATTACCTTTTTCAATCTTAACATCAGAATCATGACTTTCCATTTTAACTAGACACATGATTCTTTACCTGTATTTTATTAAAATGTAGACTGTTCTATTGCAAAAGTTAGCCTATCTATGAACATATTAAGTTTAGAAAGCAAAATATCCTGTTTTTGGAATCCAGATGAGTCAAGTGTTTTGCTAGTCCAATACCTGATATCCAATATTAAACATACAATTTAAGGATGTTCTTAAGATTTTTTAAATAAAGAATAACATAGTTTGATGCCTATTGCTGAAGAAATCAGCTCTCATAAAGGGTTTAAGTAATTTAATATGTGTTTGGTTGTTATAATGTAAAAACTTAAAAGTGTTGGGGATTGTATTGATTGCTAATCTTTTTTAAAAAGTGATTATTTCTCCACACTTTTTGTTTTCTGTGACTTTAACTTTTTGAAGTGTTCAGGATAGTTGTGCTATAGAACTGTTCCACATTGTAAATTTACGCGATTATTTCCTCATGGTATTGTTTAACTTGCTCCTCTATCCTCTTTATTTTTTATACGTTGGAAGGTCTAGGGGTTTAATTAGATTCAGATCAACCATTTTCAGCAAGAAGGCACCACAGGTTATGTTGTGCTCTTCATACTGCCTCCCATCAGGAGGCTATGATGTCCCACTATTAATGATGAAGACTTGATCACTTGGTTAAAGTGTTGATTACCACATCTCCCCATGGTAAAGTACATTTTCCCCAATTAGTAAGTAATATGAGGTCAAATACTTTGGCACTATGAGAGCAACATGTTCCTTAACAAGTTTCTACCTAATCATTTAGGTAGCCACTGAGGATCCTTATTCGAATCAATTATTACACTGGGCATTGAAAATGGTGATTTTCTAACTGATTATTCCTTTCACATTAGTTAGATGGCATTCTTCTATAAAGAACTATTCTTCCTCATCCCACTTTCCCCCTTCCTTTTAAAAGTATCACTATAGACTCATGGTTTTTTAATTTATTCGATGTGCTATAATTAATAATAATCATTGTTCTTTCTGATATTCAAATTATTCCAAATTTGGTCTCCACTTCTTTAAACTAATCTCCGTTCCTTTGATATGATCCATTAGTCTCTGAGCATTTACTTTCTTTCTAGCACAATAAGATAATCCAGCCTTATCTTTCACTTTTCCTGCCTAGACCTGGAACCACCATTTACCCTAATTAGTCTTGCTTCCTTTTTAAGAAATAAAAAGAAACCTGGTTCATACTGATTTTCCATTTCAAATTTAACATTATAGTACTTTTTTCGTAATTTCCTTTTACAGATTATATCTCTTTTCTCTTAAAATAAAAATCT